AAGGGGTGGATTTGAATTAAGAAAGTGGACTTCAAACTGTCCTAAGATCTTAGGCTCACTTCCTGCAGATCATCATGAAGTTCCCAAATTCCTACAATCAACCGACCAACCCTTTTTTAGCATTCTAGGCCTCTTCTGGTCACCTACACTTGACACATTTTCGTTTGATTTTCACTTGAAAGGGATTTCAAAAAACACAAAGAGAAACATACTCTCACTAATTGCAAAAATTAGCTATGACCCGTGTGGGTTTTTGTCTCCTGTCACAATGTGGGCCAAGGTATTCATGCAGCTTATTTGGTCTAAAGGTTTCTCTTGGGATGAACCACTACCTGAAGATTTAGTTCAAGTCTGGAACTCTTTTATAGCACAATTAAATCGTCTATCCGAGATACAAATACCCAGAGCGTTAAAAAAAAGCAATTCTCAGGAGATTCAATTGCATGGTTTTTCTGATGCTTCGGAAAGTGGCTACAGTGCAGTTGTCTACTTACGCTGCTCATCTGATTCTGAGCCAACTCAGATAAGATTACTCATTTCAAAAACTCGTGTATCCCCCTTGAAAAGGATCTCATTACCTCGTCTAGAACTTTGTGGTAGTCATCTCCTAGCAAATCTACTGACTTATTGTCTCTCATTATTGACTCCTCATTACACTGTTAGCAAAACTTATGCATGGACTGATTCAACCATTGTTTTAAGCTGGATCCACACTCCTCCCTACAGGTTGAAGACCTTTGTAGCAAATAGAGTATGTGAAATTCAAGAACAAATTCCTGCTCATTTGTGGCATCATGTAAGCACTCATTTTAACCCTGCAGACTGTGCCTCTAGAGGCTTAATGCCCAGTGAACTAAAAGACCACCCACTTTGGTGGCATGGACCTCAATGGCTTCAAGAACCGGTCTCCTGCTGGCCTCTAAACCATTTCATTCCCACTAAAGAAGAAAATTTAGAAGAAGTTAAGCCTGAAGGAATTACAGTGCTAACTACCACCAAAGCTGAACAACATATCTCAATTAAAAGATATTCGTCGTGGAATAAACTTATCCGAGTCTTCTCATATGTTATGCGCTTCATTAGAATAATAACGCAAAAGGAAATTATCTCAGGACCTTTGACTGTTGATGAATTGAAAACTTCCACTTTAAAAATATACCAGCTAATTCAAGCAGAAGTGTTTTCAGAAGAAATCAAGCATCTGAAAAACAACAAACCTTGCTCAACGAGGATTCAGCGACTCTCCCCATTTCTTGACGAAACTGGAATCATGAAAGTTGGAGGGAGACTTAAACATTCATTGGAATATGATGCCAAGCATCCTGTCATTTTGCCAAGAAAGCACCATGTTGTTTGTTTGTTAATTGACCACTATCACCTGAAATATCTTCACGCCCCTCCACAACTTTTACAGTCGCTGTTAAGTCAAGAAGTTTGGATCTTATCTGCCAGAAGTGTGATTCGTTCAAGAGTGTTTAAATGCATCAAATGTTTTCGTACCAAGCCCAAGAACAGAACTCCTTTAATGGGAGAACTACCTGAATCTCGAGTTACTCCGTCACGACCATTCTTGGACACTGGAATTGATTTTTGTGGTCCATTCACTGCTAAAGCTTACAATCTTAGATCATTGCGTCTATTTAAATTATACATATGTATTTTTGTCTGTTTTACTACAAAGGCTGTACACTTTGAAACTGTAACCGAACTTTCTTCCGCTGCTTTTATTTCTGCGTTGACCAGATTTGTATCAAGACGAGGTCTTTGTAAGAATATTTACTGTGACAATGGAACTAATTTTGTGGGTGCTAACAAGATCTTGAAATCATCAGTTAAGTCATTTTTAATGAATCACGATGATAAACTTAATATTATAGAATTTTCAACTCAAAACTCAATCAAGTTTCACTTTAATCCACCTTCATCTCCTCATCAAGGAGGTCTCTGGGAAGCTGCTGTCAAAAGTATGAAATACCATCTGCGGAGGGTTGTCGGAGAAACTGTTTTGACAATCGAAGAATACAACACTGTAACAGCAAAAATAGAAGCGATCCTAAACTCTCGCCCTCTAACGCCTCTCTCTGCAGATCCATCAGATCTACTGGCACTGACACCTGGACACTTCTTAGTAGGAACTCCACTTACTGCAATTCCTGAAGAAGATGTAAGAAACAAATCAGTAAATAGACTCAAAAGATGGCAACAACTTCAAAACTTTACTCAACACATATGGCAACGATGGAGTCGAGACTACCTTCACACTTTACAAGAGCGCAACAAGTGGAACAAACAAACACCAAACTTGAAAGTTGGAGATCTCGTTGTGATTCAAGACATCCTTACACCTCCAATGTGTTGGCCACTGGCTAGAATTGTTGAAACACACCCTGGTTCAGATAACATTACAAGAGTTGTGACTGTGCGTACGAAGAGTGGCCTTCTCACTAGACCGGCAATCAAGGTTTTCCCACTGCCTGTACTTGAAGACTAAATTTTATTACAGTTCCGCCCCTTTTGTTGCTTTAACTTTCTCTGTTTTAATTAGGCCTACTGTTTCTGTACTCACTTGTTAAATTAATTAATTGAACCTGCGGTTCAAGGGGCCCGGCATGTTTAGTATTCTATGGTTTATTTTATTTCAGTCTGGCTTCAACACATGTTTTGGGGGTTTTCAATTTTACTACATGTGATTATTGTTTTGATAATATTAATGTTGTTCAAAATGGTCAAGAAATACATCACAGTTTTTTCCTAATTCATTTTGCATTTATTTGTTGGTGATTTTCTCTATAGATTATGTAATTGTATTTTAAAGTTATATAAAGGACTTTCTCATTCTTCGACAATATTAACCTCAAGACTAAAATCAAGATTGGTAAGATATAATTAATTATTCATGGTAATCTCTATTCAGTTCCATTACATCAAGCCTAAAACTATTCTCTCCACTTTAAATTCCCTAATATTTTCAGTTATCGTAATTTAAATTCCTAAATCTCTTACTTTTCATAGGGACCTTCTGCTTAAGAGGCTCCAACCCACAGCGTCTAACTATTATCACTTGGTAATTGGGCATTGGTGACTGGCAAGAATTGAACCCAAGCCTTCAGGACCAAAGCCCCAATCAGTCAGACCCTAGTGTGATATTGTTGTAAATATAGATAGTGAGATTTGAAGAATGATGTTTGTAAAACAAATTTATTCTGTGACAAGCAACAACTTTAAATTGGGAAGTATATTTATTTGAAACTGTAACAACTGATATGGAACAAAGCGGGGAAATTTACTGAATCATTTTGACTTCAATTGTTAGATTTTTTGCTGTTTCCACTTAAAGCTCAACAGACCATGGCTTGATGATTCAGAAGTTTAGTCCACTATGAAAAAATTGACAATTTTCACGAAATTCCCTTGCAACTCTCACTGTTGGTACTACTAAATTGTGTACACTTGTAACTATATAATTTTTTATTGCACTTAAACAATGTTAGGGGTACGTTAGTAAGCTTTAAAATAATCAAGTTTTAAATGACTATAACAGACTTGTTCCGCACAGTGCTCACTGTTCGGGCTCTTCTCTTACTTGCTCGTTACAAATACATTTCCGCCCCAACATACCAGAGCTAAAAGCTCGCGGTTGTCCCATACGTCTATTCCTCCGTATCTTACTTATATAAGAAATATTTTTTATGCTGTGAAGATCATAATCTCAATCACAAAGAGTCACACTAATATAGAGAAGATCGCAAAAAAATGTTGATGGAAATTAATAGTTGATTTAACACCTATAGAATTCAATCTCGTTTCATAGAACTCAACCTTCCATCCCCACGCTTACAGTATTTGAATCCTGTTTAAGAATGGGAATGAATGTAGTAGTTGAATAGCCACAGATAGAGTATTTACTTGTGCTAGTGTAAGTCTCTGACGACTGATTTCTGTCAAAAAACGACAAACTTTCAACCATCTCCTATGGGAGCATAGAGCATCCAGAAGAGCTCTCCATCTGTCTCTGTATCCACCAAGGGCATTCACTTCTCCCCAACGTGTGGCGTCGTCGTGTAATCCAGCTACTAGGAGGTTACAGAGGTGGATATTTATAGAAATGCTTTGTGGATGCGATGCTCCCTGGTTTGGATTAACGTCCGCACCAATGAGTACTACGACTATCCGCAGTACTATCCTGAAAATTAGACCAATTCCCTTCCAAGGTGGCAAAAATGTGGTTCGGATTCCACTATAAACTGTAGGTCCCTTAGGTGCCATTAGCTGTATGGGCTATTAATTAACAGCTCTATCTAAGGAACATGTCGGCCTTAGTCACTAACAAAACTACAAGATCTCGCCACTCATCCAACACTCATCTCCATTCATACTTGGCTTAAAATACCTATATACTTTGTATGGTTGCCATTTCATTGAAAAGTATTAAAGTAAGTATTAAATTCTTGTTAACCTCTTTCGCTTCTTTAATAATGGTCCTCTTCCAGGTTTCTCGGGGTCGACCTCTTCTTCTAAAACCTTACAGGTTCCAATCCAGGCCCTCTTTGGCTTCCTCAGAGTATGTTCCAGCCACCTTCACATGCTCTCTCGAATTTGCAGTTTGACCTGAATTTGACCATTTCTCTCCATAAATATTCGTTTGCGATGACCTCAGGCCAGTGAATGTTCATGACACGGCAAAAACACCTATTGATGAACACTTGCAGCTGAGACGCTTGAGAACTTTCAACCATATAAAACCGGAAAAAAGGTTACAGTCCCGTAAACCATAGCATATGTAAAAGAAATCATAAGAAGGTATAAAAAATAAGAGCGAAAATATTATTTTGACAGTGAAACACTCTGGAAGTGGCTCACTCAATCTATGTTCTATAAAAAAATTATTGGCTTTATATACATATACATGGGTTCATATACATACATGAGTCATATAATTCAGTATCGAAAAAACAATGACATAATTGTAATAATTGCTGCTAATAATATTTGTGTTTCAGTGGACAAAAGAAGTCAGGGAGTTCAAAATAGATTATGAAAATAATCGGTTCCTCAAAGATGGAGAACCATTCCAGTACATCTCCGGTAGTCTGCACTACTTCAGAGTTCCTCGGGTCTACTGGCAGGATAGACTGAGGAAACTACGAGCTGCTGGGCTAAATGTTGTTAGTTTGTAAGTTTACCCTGACCAAAAAGCCAGCTCATCTGGTATCAAACGATTCAACAGGTTTTTAAACTCTAAACGAGCCTTTCTGGTGTGTTCGGTTAAGTTCACGTGTGTTTAACAAACTTTGCTCTAAAATCACAATTGAATACAGAGAGACCAGATACTTTTAATACCCCTATTCAATCTCTATTTTAGCGAGACTTCCAATATTATCGTAATAACTGCTATTTACATTACATGTTCAATAATCCTGCTTCTTTGAATTTTAACAATTGCGGATGTCCAGAATATTGTTATATTACAAAATTAGAACACAATACTTGTGGTTCAGACAGTTAAGAATAACTGTGGTATTGGTACATATCACAGGTAAGGAATAAACATTTTTCCCTTGTATGCGATTCTATTCACCCTTTCTACAGCAAACTGTACTATTTGATTATAAGTAGTATTGAATCTAAACTAAGCTGCAAAAATATTTAATGATAAAATGTCATCCAACAGGTAATTTTTTTTTAATTTTCCACCAGTGGGGTTTCAATAATAATTTAAAGTAGGCTAGATTATTAGTTGACATTGATTTTACTAATATTGTTGACCCATCCTCAATCCCCGGCAAAATAATTTGTGTCATTCAAAAAGAAAGCACAAACTACATTAACTTAAGTGTTACTGTACTAGAAGCTTACACCAAAACAAGCTTCAAATCCAATAGGATGAGAAATCTACTTGCAGTATACAAAGTCAAATTAACTGCAGTGCTTTTATCATCAGTACTTAAGAAACTTACTTGTCATATTCTGAGTGTTCTTGTGCAGTCTCTGGGTTGAAATAGAACCGCTGCCTTCTACGGTATGTCTTAATAGGCGACTAAAAGGGGTTGGGAGAGCCTTCTTTTTATGCTCCCAGCTTTCTCTGAGGCCAAGTTTCTTTCTTATCTTTGGCATTATCCTCAAAATCTGTTGTCTTTCCTTTTACTCTTCTTCTTTCAACTCCATTTCAGGAGTTTTTTCCCTTCCTCTTTTTTTTTTGGCTCGCACTATTAACTACAAGTCATGGGAGTGCCCTTCTTGTGCAGAGGAGCTGATTTGTGCCTCGCGCTGCCGATGGAACTTCGTCAGGAACAAGCCCCTTTGGGCCTTATTGAGGGTGTGGAATCTGCACTGCTGGGTAGCCCTGAGTGCATCAGGTTTTCCCATATACTCGGCAAACAGAGACCGGGGCCCATCGAACTGGGGTAGGGGTTTTGCCTCCGAGGGAATAACTTTTCCTAAATTTCTGCATCTAAATCCAGTGTGTAAAAGCATTTTTACCTATTCTCCCTAAAAAGACTTTTACATAACTTGGTTGTGATTTTTCTGAATTTTGAATCATTTCAGATATGTAGAATGGTCTCGGCATGAGCCTCAACCAGGAGTGTTTGACTTCACAGGAGAAAATGATTTGGAACACTTTATCAAGCTGGCTGAGGAGGAAGGTTTGCTGGTCATCTTGCGCCCAGGACCATACATCTGTGCAGAAAGGGATCTGGTAGGTTGTCCAACTCAAGCACAATCAATATCCTACTAATATTATAAATGAGAAAGTTTGGATGTATGGATGGATGTATGGATGTATGTTTGTGACAAGTGAACGCGAAAAATACTGGTCGGATTGGGCTGAAATTTGGCATGATGATAGCTCACATTCCCGATTAACATATAGGCATATTCTTATTTCAAAAATCCTTTCGGGCTCCGCCCTAGTGGCTCTGGAGTTTCCCATGTTAACCTTATGAGAAATTGAATTATTGAATCTTAACAGCAGCTGTTTCAATTAAACAAGTTGGTTCTGTTCTTTGATGTTTAATAGGATTAAAGTTACAAGGATTACCAACAGGGTGCAGCACTATTATTTCTTTTACATTTATGACAACAGCTAATTTGCAACCAAAAGGTGAGTGAGCGTAGCGAACGAACTTCAACCTGGAGGCGAGTTAGCGTAGCGAACGAGCTAACCTGAAGGCAAGTGAGCGCAGCGAACGAGCTCCAACCTAAAGGTGAGTGAGCGTAGCGAACGAGCTCCAACCTAAAGGTGAGTGAGCGTAGCGAACAAACTTCAACCAGGACGTGATTGAGCCATGCGTACGAGATAATCTTTAAAATTAAGAAGTTAAACGGCTAGTTATTTATAGTTAGTTAGTTAGTTATTATAGTTAGTTATAGTTAGTTATTTATAGCTAGTTACCTATAAATATCCAGGTCTTAATTTCAAAGAGTAGAGTGGAACGGCATCCGAGACCTCTTGCTCTAGAGGAAATGTTTGAGTTTCTTACTATTGTTGAAGAATAAATTGTTCTTATAAATACTTGTGAGCTACATGTTGTTTTTCTGCTTTTAGCAGCTAGTTTGGCACAATTTTTTAAGGAGTTGGGGATAAGAGGAATAGTGGATGTCAACGAGGAGGGGTCGTTATAGAGATCAATGGCTCTCACTAAGTTTTAGTTCCGGCATGTAAAATTCTAAAAATGAAACACTGTCAAAGGTCTACCCAGTAGGGATCTGCACACACATCTGTCAAGTGGCGAGCGAAGCTTTAAAAAGGGGTTGACAAATAAGATAATCAACATCTATAAAATACAGAACACTATTTTATTTTTACCTGGTGGGAGCATAAATTTTCTTTCACAACTCTTTTGAATGCTATGTGGGGACTATAATTGTCCCATATGGGTGGGAGCCATGTAGAACAGTAGTGTAAGAAGTAAGGATAGTATTCAGATCTGAACTAGCTCGCTGATAGGGAGTTTTATCGCAACCTTAATTTACAGACATCCTAGTATTTTATAATATAAAATTTTATTATTATAACCCTTCAAAAAGGATACAATTTTGCTTGTTATAACATACTAAGATGGATAAATTTGTATTTATTTAAAAAATATAATTTAAAATTATTAAAATTAAATTAATATATAATTAATTTAATTATAAAATATAATTCACAAATCCATTTAGGGATACTAATGTACAGTGAAAAAAAATTGTTTCAGGGCGGATATCCCGTCTGGCTACTTCATAAAAATCCAAAAATGCAACTGAGGACTAGTGACCCAAATAAGTTTATTTAGAATTCAGTAAGTCATAAGAATTTAAAGGCAAACAGTAAACTTGATTATCCAAAGTAAACCATCCACGGCAAGATTGGATAAAACAAAAAATAATGAATCCCATTTTAAGAATATAGTTTATAAAACAACACTTAATCGTGTAAAACTTTCCAAATACATTTATATTATTGAATATTCTGTAATAAGTTAAAAAAAAAAAAAAAACTTGGGTAAAAAAGATTGTAAAACCGGCATAGCTTTCCGGATGTTTGATATTTTCTGGTTACTAAATTCCGCTGTTACTTCTGAAGGTACAAAGAGAACTCGGTTCAGTACACAGCTCGAGATGAGAGTGTGAGCTATGAGAATTCTCAATTATTAAGTGGTGGAGAGGTATGCAGATATGAAGAGTTAAAAGAAAAGGGGGACATGCAGCTTGCAAAAAAAAAAAAAAAAAAAAAACTGTCAAGTGCATGATTCAAAGTCTGTCTTCTGAGTACAGGCAGGGGTGGCAAAATACTTGTTTATATGCATTCACTATAGTGCCCAGTCTTTCCACTCAGCAATATCATACAATCTCAGCTGTATTGATTGATCAGAGAGGCTTGGAAACCAGTAACAATAGTCGGACAATCGATGATCCTGCTATCATAGTAATATCCAGGGTTTTCATCCCAGATTATAGTAGAAAAAACTACTTAAAAGTAGTAAACTTAAAAACTCTCTTGACATAAAAAAAATCTAAAGTTTTGGGTAGGTACCTACAAGAAGCTACAAGTCAAACTACAAGTATGCATATGTACACTGTTATGCACACATATTTATTGCATACGTACTTGTTTTGTGGTAAAAAATCTACTCAAACCGTATTCTGTTATTTTACCTTTTAAAATAAAAGATTATAAAAGATTTGTGTGTTTTCAGGTCACACAAAGTATGTTCAAATATGGATAGACACTCTCTTGTCAAGGCTAGAACATCTTCTGTATGGGAATGGTGGTCCAATTATTATGGTCCAGGTGAGTGTATTGTCATCTTAATAGCTCCCAAGGTCTATCCTCATATAATAATATGGCATAGCAGCAATAAAATGCATAAGACTGCATAAGAAGCCCATAAGATTAACATTAGCATAATGTAGGAGAAATAAATCAGTTTCTTAAATCAGTGTTCAATTTTCTATACAAGTTCAATAATCCATTCTTCATGATTGGTTTCTAGTTTGAAAAACAAGATTGGTGTAGCAAGATTTCTGAAAATCTTTTCTTCCCAATAAGCATGCACTTTCATATTTTCAGTCTACAAGCCAAATTTTCTGTGTATCCAATCTTAAATCAAATGAAAAGTGAACTCCATCTCTATATTACTCTTTAAGTAAAAAAAAAAAAAAAACTCCCATTACTCTCTAAAATTATATACTTTTTTGGACTAAATGAAAGACACAGAGAACATACCAAATAAAAAGGAAAACTGTTCATAGAATGATCTAATATTTTACAATAGTTATTCGTGTAATTATTGGGCGAAGTGGCACTTTGGTGCACACGAGAGAAATGTTTACGCCCGAGCCATAAGCAAGTGTGTAAAGTTTAAATGGGGCTTTGGGGAACACTTTTTTGTTATGTTAGAAATCACACTAGCAGGTGAGTCACAATGTCCTATAATTTAGCGACTTGGACAACTCCTATCCCTAGGATATCCAGAAAAATCTGATGAGTTTGGACTGCTATTCCTCAAACACCTTTATGATTCTTGAAACCTTTATGAACAAAATCCTCTGGCGTAGACACTGCCAAACTAAGAGAACTTTATTTAGGATTCTACTTAATTTTCATTATCTCAGGTAGAGAACGAGTACGGAAGTTATTCGACGTGCGACAGGAACTACACACTGTGGCTGAGAGATCTGTTTGTCAAACACGTCGGGACGAAGGCTGTGCTGTTTACGACTGACGGAGCTGCCAAGGGCTTCCTGAAGTGTGGACCAATACCTGGAGTCTTCATCACTGTTGACTTTGGATCAGGTGAATATATCGCAAGGCCTTAGTTATCTGCCGTAGTTAGTACAAAGATACTGCATACTAATGGTGCATTTGCACTGGCCAGTTTTTATTGACTTAGTAGTTATTATTGTTTGTTTCTGGTCTTCTGTAGCAGTTTCAACATCACACGGATCACTCCAAAGAGTAGGTATTCTACATCATTTTAAGGATTTAGTGATCCAGAGGTCGATTCATCTCTAAGTCTGGTGCCACACTATCCTGTTTAGAGGGATGTGTTTTTACCACATTGATATTACCCTGTCACACCTTCCCGCTCTACTGCAACATACTTTGAGTGAAGAGCGCGAGCATCTCACACTGTGCACTGTTGATAGCGACACCTATTACAGTATCCAGACACCTTTTAACCGGACATTGGTTTAACCGGACTACACTCGGCGGAAATGACATCTCTTTAACCGGAAAATTTTTATCAGCACATTGGTTTAAAACGGACTAGATTGGCAGGACGTGGGCGGTACTGAAACAACTCATGTTCTCGTGGGAAAGATTTGAGACCAATAATTACATGTCTAAATACAATGCTAAGTCAAATATTTGAGTTACATGTATACAGTATGCATTTAAACGGTCTGTTTTAACGAGTTTTTGGTCTCGGTCCCGAGGAGTCCGGATAAGAGGGAGTCTACTGTATTGGACAGAGACATACCTTAGAGCTTAAAAGTTTTATTCAGCTTAGCCATACTGTACGTACCAAACTTACTGACTTACCGAAGCGAACACTCCTTGTTCCCTAGTCGGTACTTGATTTTTTCACCAGAGCCTCTGTAGTAGGTTCCGCCTGTAGAATCCTCCTCATAAAACTCCAAGTTTATGATATTCCTCCAAAACTGTATCCCCATCTTGTTTTTGGCCTACCATCTGGTCTTCTTTTCAGGAAAATTGTTTAGTATTTTTCTTGAGTTACCTTCTTTACACAAAATGTGTCTACAGTCCAACATAACCTGTTCAACGCAGCTTATCCAGAAGTATGGCAAAGTTCAAAGTGAGTGTGTTTGAAATATGCTCATCAGAAGAAAAATATATTTTTTTTTCAGGCGCAAATATCACTAAGGCGTTTGAGCCCCTTAGGGCCATTCAACCTAAAGGTCCGCTGGTTAACTCGGAATTCTACCCCGGGTGGCTCACACACTGGGGTGAGTCTGTGAGTACAGTGGAGACGGAACGCATAGTGAACACTACCAGAGATATGCTACAAGCAAATGTGTCCTTCAACTACTACATGTTCTTTGGAGGAACCAACTTCGGGTACACCTCAGGTGAGAAAAGATAAATTTGTTGTATAGACCATTGACCCTTTATGAGGCCAACACACACCAGCCGTCTGTCTCCCGGGAGACGAACATCTGCCAGCAGATGTCCAGAGGCTGTAAACACACATTTTAGCTCCCAAGTTACGGAGTAGTCATGACTGGGATAACTATGCTCTTAACAGCCAAACCCATTACATTATCAACTATAGCAACTATTATCATTAGATGCATGGACATTTTAGTAGTTTCAAGCAACAAGTAAATTTTAAAATTACTACTTATAAGTAAAGATGTTGGATGAATTACTCTTCATTCCCATCAGACTGTTTGCCACATTATCTTTGGCTTTTTTTTTTCTTTGCAAATATGGGAGAGGGGTAACACCCGGGCATAGATATCTTCCCTGAATCTCTCACTGAGCGATTTGTTGCATTGGCTTGCAAACGGATGGCTGTGTCTGTGAGCCAACAAACACGATGTTTGTTCACCATTTAACAAGCAGGGTAGCAATGGTTTCGTTGTCCACCGGCAGATGGACAGCCGGTGTGTGTGGCCTTTAATTATCTGTGTTTGGTTTGTTAAGCTTTATACGTTATCAATTCTTTAAAATAGAATTTAGGTGAACAATCAATGTTTTAAAAACCATCCTTAAGTTTTTTCCTCAAGAAGGAAAAAAATCATCTCTTTGTTCGATCCACACTCTTTTTTTGTGGGAGTTAGAGGAGAGAACCCAGAAGATTAAAGTTAAGCAAAAGTGTTTTATTATTTGGTTTCATGGCTAATTGATGCATGCAGTGTTATTTTATAAACCGTCCTTTCTTTATTCACTTTGTTTTAGATTGTTGATCACATGTTATTTATTTATAGAAGTTATAAAGGTGTGCATGTTGTATCACAAATTTAAGTTTTGTTTTTATATCTACTGTCTTCTCACTCTGTTATTTCCTCCGTTATTAGTGCCTCTTTTTTACGTCTCTATTATTGAGGCAGATGCCGCTACCGCGCACGTCTGTTCCAAATGACGCCACATTACGTTAATCCAGTTAGGTACTTTTATAACTGTTTGGGGACAGGTTGCACACAAAGAGAACCTAGTATTAGGAACGGTAGTACCTCTCTAAACTCATTAGCCGAAATGGTTGGAATCAACTTCATGTTATCTGCCCGCAGCTTGATTATGAAATGAAACTGTTCTAAAACTAACCTAACCTATCAAAACTTTCTGTAACATTTCAAAAATTCATTTTGATAGCAGAAATGGCTTTCGCGTTCCATCGACTGTTCTAGAACGTTCAATCCATAACTCAGTATGCTCGTCTTTTTCTTTTTTTGAAATAAATTATTTTAAAGCTTCAAAATAGCAAAATTGTAAAAGGAACCTCCATCTTAACCGAAATTTATGTGAGTGAGTTAAGTAAGTAATTCAAAATGGCTTCTCTAGAAGTAAAATGCTCCCTTTTTGCATTATTTTTTTTGCCATATTGGTATGGGAACGGGTTGTGACGTTATTATGACGTGCGATAGTCACTTCGTATTATTTACAGGAGCGAATTACAGAGACTCTCCAAACACCAGTTTCCAGCCGCAGCTAACATCATATGATTACGACGCTCCCATTACCGAGGCCGGAGATTTGACGCAGAAATATTTTGCTATTAGATCTGTCATATCGGAGGTATGTTTTTCAGATAAAACTTGAAACATTAATATTCCTTGGAGTAATATGGTAAGAAAAAATCATACTGAATGCTAAGACACAATAGTGAAATTATTATTATTGATAAAAATTTCTACAAATTAAACACATACTCTAAAAAGCTTTGTATCTCATTAAAATCTTTTCTTACCGGCACTGAAATAAATATTTACTTTTTACTTTTCCCTAAATTAATTAGGTGTAACATCCTTAGTCTCTGAAAACATGATGTGTGATTTTGAATTTTACGTTTCTAAAATATTTTTATTTCAAAATTTTACTTGAGTGGTTGTTGAAAAGTTATAGAACAAAGCAGAACAAGGTACAGAAGAAACCTTGTTTACCTACATATGCATAAAACAATATACAGTAAATTAAACAAAATACTAGCATAAATATATATTATACAGGGTGCTGAGTTTTAAATGAGTTCCCCCCCTACTTTTTTCTACATTTCTTAAGATATCAACTCTGGACCACGTCAGATCATTGTAGAGTAGTAAGTACTTCATTTTGACTGGGTATAAATTTTTGGCCGCCATCTTGGATCCGCCATCTTGGAAACAACGTTTTTTTTCAAATGTAAAGGTAGGGTTGTGGCCCATCGTTTTAAACTACTTTCTTATGCTGAATACGATGCTGCAATCCGTTTAAAAAAATCTTGACCCATTCTAAAGTTATGAGAACTTTTTATAACATTATTTTTAGCCCATTTTAACATTGTGCATTTAGAAACTAAAAACATAATCGCAAAATAGTGCTAGATAAAGATGAGTATACACCACATAATATACATAAATCTTTATCTAGCACTATTTTGCGATCAGGGACCTATTTAAGTATCTGCCGCCTCTAGGCAACAAAGTTTGCCGCCAGCCCTCACGCTCCCACTTTTCAACGCACTACCCGACCTCACTAATATCACCCCAATGGCCAATACATGCCCTGTCAGTTGGTTTTGTGGAAAAATAATTGGTAATATTGCATGCTGCATCAACAAATTTAATAACTTTTCACCACACTATGATGTTTTTAGCTTTTTTACATGCGTTAATTGGTGGCTGAAAGTTACGATTTAAAGCCCAAATGACAATTTAAAGTCATCGTCATTTGGGGACCGAGCAGGTTCTTACATCCCTATTAGGGCAGCAAAATCAGCTGATCGCTTACTTTTTAAAACATGAATGCATATTAAATACACAATCAGTATCCATAGCATTGCAATAGAATTGTTTTATTGTCACCGCTGCCTAGCAACTATTTATTTTAACTTTTGCTGATTCCTCAAATTATTTCTTCACATAACCTTAAAGTTCTAGTTATGTTGACTATCAGTGTGCATCATTATTGTGGTGAATTAAGGTGCAATTTAGGTATAGTGTGGTGGAAAATAGCGTTCGTACCACGGACCGAAATGGTTTTGCAGCTCTCGATCGTTTTAAGTTGACTTCGTCTCGAACCTAAAAACTATCTCGAGCCGACGAAACCTCATTTTCGGCCCTAGGTACGAAATATACTATTTCGACCCCTTTTAACTGATTTTTTGTGCCTTTTTTTTGCAAAACATTCTGACTTGGATAGGCCTACACGGAATGCAACTTTTTTGATCTAATCAGTATTTTTACAATCCCATTTCGTGGCTTGAAACGGCACACAAAATCGTCTGTATACAATGGTTCTTATAACGCTTTTCATTGAACACTATTAGTCAGATCCACTTGAGAGACGTGCTATTGGCTTTGATTTGAAATGAAAGAAATATGTTTTCTTATACTTTTTATTTCTTCCAAAAGCACATGAATCGCAAAGAAAAATTACGTACTAATACTGAAAGAATAATATACAATTTTAAATTAGTTAAGTTTGGTACAGTGGGAAGTATTTAGTTCACACTTTCCTTCTTGATTTTAACCTAGCAAAAGAATCTTTCAGCTGTAGAGCTGCCGCTGCGTAGTGGTGCATGAAGTCAACAGAAGGGAGTGTTTTCTACGTTTGTCACTACATAGCGGCCGGCACGGCGACCCGCTCCCGCGGCGAGCGTGTCCGCCAGACCAATAGGGCAGCACGGACAACTCTACACAGCTGTGTAATAAACTATTGACGTTTGTTTGACTTGGATGTGTTCTGAAATAGTTGTATACTTAATCAAAATATTTGAAATGGCTATTTTGCCGTTCCCAAAATTATTTGCTATTTTTTTTTTAGATTAAAACTTCGTTTTTTATATTTTTTTACCCTCAAAATTTTGCCGCCCCTAAAATTTGCCGCCCTAGGCGGGCGCCTAGTCCGCCTATTCGGAAATATGTCCCTGTTTGCGATTATGTTTTTAGTTTCTAAATGCACATTGTTAAAATGGGCTAAAAATAATGTTATAAAAAGTTCTCATAACTTTAGAATGGGTCAAGATTTTTTAAAACGAATTGCAGCATCACATTCAGTATAAAAAAGTAGTTTAAAACGATGGGTCACAACCCTACCTTTACATTTGAAAAAAAAACTTTGTATCCAATATGGCGGATCCAAGATGGCGGCCAGAAATTTATACCCAGTCAAAATGAAGTACTTACTACTCTACAATGATCTGACGTGGTCCGGAGTTGATATCTTAAGAAATGTAGAAAAAGGTAGGGGGGGAACTCATTTAAAACTCACCCTGTATATATATTTAATAAGCAATACTCTATACTATTCATCCAATAACAAAATTTTATGCTGAACTAAATTTGTTCTTACATTTCAAAATTTCCAGTTTGTCACAGTACCAGGAATTCCAGTTGAAAATTCCAAAAAGTTCAGCTATAGTGGTTTGGTTTTGGATCCCAGAGTGTCGTTGTTCGACTCACCTGGTGTTGTTTACCCAGAGACAACATATCCAAAGACATTCGAGGAGCTGGGACTTTACACAGGGTTTCTATTATACGAGACAAGGTTACCAGAAACTTTCTCAAGTCAAGGATTGTTGACAGCTAAGCACTTACACGACCGAGCTCTTGTCTACATTGATAAGGTAAATATGAGTGCTGTAGCAAAACTTTAATGTGAGATGAAGTAAGTAGGCCTACAACTGTCTTACTTACAAGAAATCGGGAAAATTTTCAAATTAATATTTCTAAAAAAGCAATTTCAAACAAAACTCCAACTGTTTCTGGGATAAAATACTATAACTACCTTCCTTAAATCATAAAATCTGAAAAGAGTTTGAAATGTTTTGAAAGGAAATTAAAAAGATTTCTTGTGGCCAAAGCGCTATAGGTACAGTTTTGAGGAATTTTTTAGTGTGTAAGGATTTAAATAAATATTTATTTTATATGTGTAATGTATCAATTTTCTATCTAGTTATTAGGCGATATAATGTATGATGTATTTGTATGATGTATATCCAAGATGTTAGCATTTTGAAGACACTACACAGCCCTTTATCATCAGCAAAACATAGGCACTAGGTAACACAGAGCTACTAGTTACAAATAAAGTAACTCTAAAAGGCCTATTTTGCCAGAAGCGGCTGGTGTGTCTAACGCTCAGCGATGATTGCTTCGCGTCAATCGTTACCCACTGCTTTGCTTTCAGGTTAGTCTATTTTGCCAGTAACTGAGTCACTAGCGTCTATTGCGGACCACTGCTCCTGAAGCAGACGTAGACACAGTCGCTAGTGTCTATTAGAAGAAGAACACGTGTTTTGTTGTTGACAGTTCTCAATTTTTTAAAGTTGGGTTTTTATGAAATGTTATTTAGTTGGTAAATTTAGAGTTATTTCATCTGGGTCTAAAGAGTTAATTTACAAAAAAAAAAAGTTATCAATTTGTAAATTGTTAATAGTTATTTTGTCTTTGACTAAATAGGGTTTATTTATACTGTATAAATACACAAAAAAGTGTTATTCAGCTTTTTAAATTATTGAATTTGTCAAGAATTTCAATTTTTAAAAAATCATATTAGGTTTTTGTTTTATGGTAAAGAGTTTTCAAAGTAGCATAGTATTTTGGCTGCAGATTTTTTGGGACTTCAAGATGTTTGTGATAACAGGCTAGAGAGATAAGGAGGACACAAACACTGACTGATGGAAGTGATAAGAGTTTGGACTTGATTTCCCTTAGTTTAATGAGCTGCAGACAAGCCATGTCAGGCTTTTGCAACATTTAACATGGTGTAAAATGATATGTAAAAATGTGTGGTTAATTTGTTTCAAATAAATAAATAAAATAAATAAATTAATAACTGACGTTCCAGTAGTAGGAATGAATTCTAATTGGGTTTTTAACTCCGTCTGTAAGTTTAGTGACATGTCACAATCAAATTAAGGATTTAATAGCAAAGAAGATGCGTGATTGAATGAAGCTATTTCTAGAACGAAGGCGGAAGGCTATTTTCTATTAATAATTTATAATTTCTCCCTTCAGGTATCTTTAAAAACATAAAACGCCAATTATCATTGTCCAATTCTTTAGCTAACAAATACTTCACCATTAGCTTTTTACAGCTCATTTCAAGAACAATACTCCTTTCGCCCCCAAAGAAAATCACTCACTGACCAAATAATCGTAAGGAACAGACGTTCCAGCCGCTTCTGGCTAAACAGGCCTTAAGGTGTTGTAAGGGGGAGGGGGGCGGGGTTGTAAGGCCCTCAAAATACCTAAATCTATTTGAGTCACATAATTTTCTGCAGGCAACGATGACAGTGAGAGGATAGTACTAAGAGTGGTTTCTGCAATTTGTGGTGTCTACAAATTCATTTGAGATGATGTTCTGACTTTATCACTTACGATGTAAAAGGTTAAGAAGTCAGTGAAAGCTAATGTTACCTCTTGACATACCAACTCAAACTTTACAAACAAACACTCATGTTCTTGACTGTATGGTTTTATTTCCAAAACTTAGATGGTCCTCTACACTTGTTAACATCAGTTACAAGCTACAAGGTATAAGATGATTTTAAATTTTACAAGTGCGAATCAAATTTTGTCTATCAAGAAACTTCTAACCTACATTCCTGAAGAAATTTCATTTGGGCAATACATTTATTTGGTAAAAGAGTCAAAAAGTTTCAATGTGGGAAAAATTTATCTTGTACACTTCTTTTACAGCAATCATAAGGTGCACTATTGTCCTTAGCTTGAAGTTTTTAAAACGAAAATAAAACTAACTATATATATTTCTATAACAGCAACCAGTTGGCATTTTGGACAGAAGTAATGCTACCTTCTCCTTGAATATATCAGGAAAGCCACATCAAACATTGAGCCTTCTGGTGGAGAATCAGGGACATATAAACTATGGAATTATGTCCGACTTAAAGGTACATAATTCTTAATGCATATAAAGCCGGGATTTCCTAGGCACGGAATCGGCGAACGGAGAGAGGAATGTGGAGAGCGGACTCCACTTGTCTTAGGCAATTTAATGTTACTGTTTTCCTAGAAGCAGAGCGGAATGCCATGTTAATTTCAATTCCGCTCTCCGCGTTCCTCTCTCCGCTCTCCACTTCCGCGCCTAGGAAAACCCAGCTTTAGGCACGGTATGGTTAAATTATAAAATCCAGTGTAGTGTGATATCAGTGGGGTAGTGTACAATTTCTGGTGAGGCTTTTGTAGTTTTACTGTAGAAGCTAACACTGAGGTTGAATCACCATAAGTAATACAGCAGAAAGCATAAAAATGCTGTTGATTTGCTTCCCTGTAAAATTAATGACATTACTAGTTAATCATACTGAAGTGGAAGTGACACTCATTGTCCAAGAGTTTCCCATGTTAGTCTTATGAGTATTCATTTAAAAGGAATAAAAGAATTTTGTCAGCTGTTTCAACTACACAAGTTGGTTCAGATATTAAAAAGCATTAAAAGCTATAAGGTTTACCAACAGGGTGCAGTACTATTATTATTTTTTATGCATTTATGACAACATATAATTTGAACAAAATAGACACAAAAATCTGTGAAAGATGAGAATTTCACTTTTATTATTTTTTAGGGGCAGTGGTAGAACATAATGGCTAGGGTAGATGTGCTATACTATAGCATACCGTAAATTAAAAGAACATGTTCTTTAAAAAAAAAAACATAAAAAAACATAAAAAACATGTTTCTTTTTTTCTTTCTTTAAGAAAATTTTCTTAAACCATGTCCTCTCCCATTGCAAACGCAAAGCAATAGTATAACTGCAATAAGCATTTTATAATTATACACCAACCCCGTACGAAGACCGGGTACTCTGCTAGTACACAATATGTTGAAAGAAACAACATTTGAATATACAATAATTGTGTTTCTCATAGAAAAGATGTTACACTACTTGCCTGTACAGTATAGTTATTGCATATGCCATTCTTTGAAAGTGTAATTCTATGCAGAATTTTTTATCGTACTATCTATCTATATATATAATACGCTAAGCCAATTTTTGTGAACAGAACTCCTCCCACATTTTTGGACCGATTTTAACCGATGATTAAAGTGTCAAAAAAATTGCCCTGATCTGTAGTTTTGCAAAGTGTTTTTGGTTTTTTGAAATCTTTATTAGTTTGGGCAGGATCTTCCATCAAAGTTGGGTTTTCTCCCATAAGATTAACATGGGGAAATCTAAATATTTCATTGGGAACTTTGTCTCCTCTAATTTGAGAGAACGGCTGGATGTAGAAACTTGGTAGAGGTCTCCAAAGAAAGACCTTGGTCTGTAGATGAGTTATCAAAAGAAACACAAAGTAAATTCCCTTATGGCTCTGCCCCAGAAGGGAACCTCGAACTTAAAAATACCTCGACAAATTTGTTTACATTTCGGCCATGTGGATAATACTTTTTAATGAAACAGCTGTTGATTTTTCAATTGTGTTTTAAACAACACACATTTATCAGGAGTTACTAAATTGTCCAAAAGAAGTATTTGCAATGCTATTTTATGATTTTAAAATGTATTTTCTTCTGTATCATGTCATGTTTTGCAATATAATATTCCATTACGAAATCAGTGGAAATTCCTTTTATCACAGAACTCTTACAATAATTCCTTATTGAACTATCTTATATCTACTGTACGGGTTGTTGTCTGCCTGTTCCCCCACTTTTGCCTATATTTTATCATATTATTCTACATATCATCATAGGTTCACGAGATTATTGTTACCTATACATGTTTTCAATCATTGTAAAAATCTTCGATTGTGTAATACAATACAAAATTATACAAGTGCAGAAGGGCACGGTGCCCATTTGAGCAGTGTCCACATTCTGCTAAATTATTAGTAGTTTACAGCAACTGGATAAAACATGTTACAATATTTATGTAGAAATATGTGCATAATTTAGAAAGTCAAAACTGCAATTTACTATAGACTTTTCAGAGAGGTTACTTCGATGTTGTTAATTCAGCTTAGTGAAAACATAATATAGAAGTATACAAATAAGAATTTGAACTCTTAGAGAACCTTTGAATGTTATTAGAATAACGAAATAGCGCATGCTTACTAACGCTACTCAGCAACAAAAACCATTTAATTTATCTCTAAAAATATATTCTTAAAGCGCACTGAGCAGCAGCCTCGAAAATACTATGTAACTTACCTATATAGTTACAAAATGATCAAACTCACATTGTGACATTTATAATTCGGCTTATATTTCTCCAGCAGATTATTTATCTGCAGAAGAAGTTTGTTGTGCTCTTATCGTGTGTAATAATATCCAAACACAGAAACCTGGCCTAAAATGGTACCTATCTTGACAAATTATTTAAAGTGGTCTAAATTACGGACCGTGGCTCACTGGGTTGTTAACATGATTTAAAATAACACAAAATTTTGGCTGTAAAAAAGGCACAAAGAGTAAATACTATTTAAGCAGCTACTGTCATGACAGAAAGGTCATATTCCTTTTAAACTAGATCAGATCACCCTTTATAAGATACGTTGTTTAACAATGCATGTAAGCGTCAATATTTACGTAACAGCCAATTTACATTATTTATTGCTTTTTCCAAATGCCGCATTGTTATGTAATTTGAATTATTTGTTGCCAATGAAGCCGCACAACCATATAAACGAGGAGGTCCCTAACAGTTCAAGAGTAAAAGCCAACTTCACTTCAAGTATATTCCACTACACCTAACTTTCCGTAGATGAATAATTAGCGTTAAGCCTTGACAGTGACCATCGATTTCGACGGGTTTCACCTAGTCTACAAAAAATTGATAAACATAAAAACATGATATTAGTGCTATTTTCTACAAAAATGCCAATAATCAAATTTTATTACTCTTTTTGAACTATGAGTTGATTCATATAGATTGTCTGACATGTTGCCGAAAAAAAAATAGATGTTATGATTCAAGCCTTGACATTGTATGTTCCAACCAAATCTCTAGCACTTTGGTTAAAGAACCACCAAAATAATGAAAAAATGATATCGGGAACATATATGTATGTTAAAATATTCATATAGTTAACATATTATGGAATATGTTTTGCAGTAACCCCAACAGCTACTTTTGCAAGAGGCACAGGTGCAGGTAAAATTAAACTCAATGCACAGATCCTCAGCATAAATTCACAAGAAGTATGTCTTGTTGTTTAAAGGTTTATTGAGGACATTTTCCATCACGATGGTAAAAAACACAATACACAACATTTTGGGATCCTGAATCTTTTCCTCTCCTCAGGTGAAAAAAAACCTAACTAACACATTATAACTAACAATACAAATACAATACAAAATGGTGTTTACTGTTAGATAAATAAATACCCCCGCCGCAGCAAACCTTTCTGACTTAGCCAATTTCCATTTGCCTGAATTGATTTTCAATTAAACCTATTTAAATTAAATAACATTAGGTTCAATGAGTACCTAGGTTTGCTTCTACAAGGAAACTACTGTAAAAAAGTGTATTTTTTTAGTAAAATATAAAATAACTTAGTATAAAATAAATACATTTGCCAAGTTTAATCAAAATGTATCCATAAACAAGCAAACTACATCATTTTACAATATTCTCCATACTATTTTTTTAGTTTTCTCCGTTACCACTTACCCTTTAAACCAAATTTCATCAAAATCGGACAAATATTACTCAAGTTATCGCGTTCACGGACATATATATATACGATCAAACAAACAAACAAACACACAAACTTTCACATTTATAATATTAGTAAGATATATATATCTTACTAATATTATACATGTGAAAGTTAGTGTGTTTGTTTGTTTGTTTGAAGTTCAATCACGCATAAACCACTGGACGGATTGGGCTGAAATTTGGCATGATGATAGCTCACATTCCCGATTAACATATAGGCATATTCTTATCTCAAAAATCCTTTCGTTCTCCGCGCCAGTGGCTCTGTAGTTCCCCATGTCAACCTTATGAGTATTCATATTTAAAGGGAACTAGTGAACCTGTGCGGCTCAATGCCCCGCAAAAACATATGAATTTAGAAAACAAATTCATCTTGTTATATATTGACTCGACGTCGAAAATTAATTACAGTAATAATAAAACCTTAGAGGGGAAGCAGTCCAGCCATTTTCTAGCTTTATGCATATTATATTTAGTAAATTAATAAGTGTTCAAGTATGTTATAGGGTAGTTATTTGTTTTTCAAGATAAAAAACACATTTAACAAAACATTTTATCATATCAAACCAATAGGCCTATGTAGCATATTTTGAGGGTCATAAAATGCAGCTTGAAGAAAACACTTTTAAAAATAAACACTAAAAAACAATATTTTTATCACAAAGCATTTCAAAGAATACTACGCTTTTAGTCTTAAAGCTACCTTCAGGAATATTACCCAGGTCAGAATTTTCCGTAATGAATATGCGTATCCTATTAAAAGATGTAGCCTTACTTAAAGCAACATATATATAGTTGCTCATGACTGAAATTGGTCTAGCTAAGAAGAGTGCTGCTCTTTAATTAAAGTGCTTGTGCTGCAAATGCCAAAGATAACAGAAATTAGCATCTTTCCATTTTAAAAGGTAAGTTTGTTTCAGACGGGCAAATTTGTATCCTCGAAATCAAAATATGTCCCTACTCATTTGTTCCAGTTAGGACTTTACATTCTACCTTACATTGTTCTTAACCATTCTGATCACATGAAGCATTGTGCCATTAATGAGGCCCTTTTTGATGTTTTAATATCAATAAAACCACTGCCCCCTTTTATTAGTATAATCTGTGTCTTGACAATCCACTGACCTCTATATTTAAAAACTCAGTTTGATTTTCTAGATGGGTGTCTCCGCCTTCGACTGTTTTCGAGGACCCACTCTTCTTCCCCTTGGTATACTGACAATTAATTACCTGACTTGTCAAGTTCATGTAGTAATTCATTTACACTGTTAGTTTATAAAGAAAATTAGATAAAAGTTACTTGGCTTGGTGCTTTCATAACTGCAAACTCAAAATACACCCACAAGTAAAAGAGAATCAAGTTATTGGTAAAAAAACTATGTTTGTGTAAAAACATTATTCACATGAAGTAGATGATTTGTTTGATTTCTCGATCAGCTGTTTAGTTTCTAATGAATTAAGAATGTCAAAGATTTGTGATTTTACATACATAAATAAATTATATTATAGTAAAGTTTTCTAAATCATGGTAACTTAGTCTCAACTGAATTTTACAATTCCCAGCATTAAAAATAAAGTAGTAAGATCCATTATGAGTAAACTTTAAGGTACTTAATCCTTGATTGAAATGTAGTATACATTAACAGTCATAATACACAGCAATTATTAGTAGACTTTGACTATTTTCAAGTTACAAACATATGTTTCTGTAAATAAAAAATTATCTCCCATGTTATCCTTATGGAGAAAAATGAAACTTTAAAGGGCCCCCAGGGCCTCACTCTCAAATTATTTCCCTAAAAAAGACAGTTTCCTGCACAACTTCACGTTACGCTCTTTCCAATGACACCAAAAACATGTCAATTGGTTCAGTAGTTTCGGAGGAGTAATTGTCACAAAAATCGTGCTTGCGTATTAAATAAGTACTAGACGTCGTCCAGTGGTCGGAAACTCGAACAAAAATGAAAATGAAAATGATGTAAATGAAATGAAAAAATAATAAATTAAATGAAAAATTCTCTATTTATTCAGGCAAAGTTAGGGCCACAGGGTCGTTTCTTACACTATGTAATGTACAGTGTTAACCCCACACTGTAAATAAAACATGTGATAGGAATTTGTTTTGATTTTCTGTTTATATTTTGTTGTTATTTCGTCACCATCATGGCAACCCATAACTCCTATGTTAATTTTTTTAAGTTTTCAAATTCATTTTTTGTGCTTATTTTTGGGCCTATTTTAATTTTCAAAAGGATTCTGCACATCTACAGGAAAATGTCTCTCTAACAGTATGCGTAGATTTTCCCTACGATGCACACGACCTGAGAAAATACCCCCGCTGCAGCAAACCTGCAGACTAAGCGAATTTCCATTTGCCTGATTTGATTTTCAATTAAATCTATTCAAATAACATTAGGTTTAACGAGTACCTAGGTTTGCTGCCTACAGGGTAATAAAGTGTGTTTTTCAGTAAAATATTAACAGCTTAGTATAAAATAAATCGATTGGCCAAGTTTGATCCAAATATATGCATAAACAAGCAAACTACAAAAGTTTACTTATTCTCCATAAGAATAACATGGGAATTTTTAATTTATAATTTTCTCCGTAACCAATAACCATACAAAAACACTTCAATATACTGAATTATTAGTTTTTTTAAGCTCTTCAAAATGGTCTAGAAGAAATTTGGGAAATTTTATGTTTTGAGGGTCAAAAATGAGAAAAACCAATTTTTACCCCATAAATCCCCCCATAAAACCCCATTCCCATGGTCCAATCATGCTGGCTCGCGAACTCGTTCGAATAAACGTAGGTTTACACGTTTGTACCAAATTTCATCGAAATCGGATCATTTTTGCTCGAGTTATCGTGCTGACGGACACACATATATATATATATAAATATATAAATATATAAATACAGGGTTATTACAAATGATGTTCCTGATTTTGATTATAAATATTACTGGGCTAATTTGTTTCAAGACTATTTTAATTGGTACCATTGGAAAGAAAAACTCATAAAGTTTAATTTACATTGGTTTGGGTGCATATCAGCTGTTTGTCAAGTCAATTGTTGTAAGTGTTGTGTAATGGCTGAATTTGAAGGCAGGAAAGCTTTTTGCCAGTTGGAATATTACATTAACCAATCTGTTATTAGTGTGCAACGACAATTTAGAACCAGGTTTAACGTTTATCCTCCTAGTAACCACTATATTGGCAAGTGACACTTGAAATTTAAGAGAAATGGCTGCATTTGAATGTTACTTGTAGTAGGGCTGAACTTAACAATGTGCTGCCTGAGATATGGAACGAGCTCGGTTGTCCGAATAATGACACACCCCTGAACTGGCCTACAAGATCTCCGGACATCACCCCCTGATTTTTTCTTGTGGGGATACATCAAAGATAAGGCGTACACACCACCATTATCAAGCATACTTGAGATCCAGCAACGGATTACCAATGCTATCGAAACAATAGACCTAGACACACTTTTCAAAGTCTAGCAAGAGCTTGACTACATTATTGACATCTGTCGTACCACAAGGGGTTCCCGTATCGAGCATTTACAGTTCTGTGTATCTGTGTAAAAACTTTTTGAGTTTTTCAAAAGTTGTAACCATTTTATTTCTTTGTATAACAAATAAAACTATATTTCATGTATGTATGAAATCATGAACATCATTTGTAATAACCCTGTATATATATATATATATATATATATGAATTTGAACGGATGGTGTTTTTGGCTTCTAGGAACATCAAAATGAAAAAGTAAATCGGTCCCGGGACTAAGTCTTACCATGAGACCTACGGTAATAGCTTATTCCCTATAGGGAAATTCGCTAATATTCCCTATAGGGAAATTCGCTAAAAGGTTTTAAAGAAACATGCTTGCCTATTAATATATAGAAGATATAGATTAAATAATTTAGTCAGCTGTTTCAACTAAAAAATTTGGTTCTATGATACAAAAAAGCATTAAAAAGTTTTCACAAAAAAAAAAAAACTATGGTTCATGCTCTACGCTACATTTTTTAAATACTTAAGATCTTTTATACTTAATTTTTGTCTTTTAGGGTCTTACTGAGAACGTAACACTTAATGGAGATGTTCTCTTGAACTGGAAGCAGACAGGCTTCCCTACGGAGGATGTTTCTCATGTTGTAGACCTCCCAAAATCTGAGACAGTAAAACTTCCTGCCTTCTACTCCCAGAAGTTCCAGCTCACGAATACAGCAGAAGACCCAGGAGATACATTTGTTGACATGTCTGGTTGGACTAAGGTGAATATTGGTATTTTCTTTTTGTAAAGTTAAAACTAGAAAATATAGAACTACCCTACTGCGTTTAGTGTATTGAGTTTTTTTAGGGCAAGATTTCCTTGCAGATACTCAATCTATTGTTTTCTAGATGGGTGGATCGTGGATCTACATTTTTGGATAGGCCTATACCTTTGGGTGGGCCTACACCTTTGGTAGACCTACACCTTAGGATGGGCTCCAAACCACTCAAAGCATGGTGTGAGCAAAATCACATAGCTAAAATCCATTAATGATTGGCGGGATTTGAACCTGATACCTTTAAATGGAAGTCATGTATTCTAACCATCAAACAAGATGTTCCCACCCCAATCAGTACGTACATACAGGGCCGGCTTACATGGTTTCATACTGAATCCTTACTTATTACCTACCCTTTAATTGGCTCTTCCTGTTGGGTTTCTCATTAACAGCGTAAGCAAAGGCAAAACTTTGGAAGTTCATCTTTTCAGTGGTGTAGTCGTAAAGTTTTCAGTATGGGAAATCTCACCATAGTCTAAAAACTGACCACAGACTAGGGAACAAAAGTGTGTTCCCTACTCTGTGAACTGACTTAACAAATATAGGATTAATATTTTATAAGACTACCGGTACTGGAGAAAGCTGAATAAGAACGCTGCTCACTTGCGTTCCCACTCCTTTACACCACTCTGCTTCTTTTCCTTTGTTTTAACACTTTAGTTCAAAATAAATTTGCCTGTACTGAAGATTTTCACAGCTTCTTTTTTAGGTTAGTCATTTTTAACACTATTATACAAATACTTCTGTGCAAATATTAAGTTAATTTGATTTTTAAGTTTGGTTTTGTGGATAATTATTTATGCTTAAGAAATATTTTAGGTGTTTTATAAAAATAAAATTGTAAACTATAATCAGCTGGTGTCCGGAAAATTCATAACTGCATAGTAGTACCAAAGATTACATATGCTAACGCAAAACTTTTGCGTTAGCATATGTAATCTTTGGTAGTACCAAGAACATACTCTCTTTAGTTTTTAGTAGAGATTTCATCCTTATGGATCAGCTGAAGACAATTTTTATCGTTAGTTCTGTCCAGTGCACTGCATCGATCTCTATTACTTTAATAATACAGATCGGTGGTGCACTGTAGACGTAGTGTTTTGTTTATAATTCGTTTCTTGTTATTTCAGTCATTTAAAAACCCAATTGGCCAAACAAAATGATCTAATCATAAACAATAACTTGTCCTCTACTTATATAACATAACGGTGAAGTACAAATCCTGAAATTAACCCTACAATAATAGAAACGAAATTCCGTCCACACTAGCGATCGGTCGAGAACTACACCTTTTCTAATTTTATTTCAGAAAGTGTCAAGTCTATTTCAGAAAGCATCAGTTATTGTACAGTATTTCAGAAATTGTCACATTTACTTCAGGGTTAGTCAAATGTATTTCAGACAAAATCAATTGTATATCAGAAATGATCGATTAAACAATTTTGCACAGTCGTAGCGGATCTGATTCAAATTTAATTATAAAAAGCCCAGGGTTAAGTTTAGGTTAATTAGGTTAGCCTAGAAAATTCAGCCGTTTATCAAGATCTTTTCCTGATTTGACCTAATGAGGTATTTTTTCCGAGTTGAATCACATCCTATATGATACCAAAATTCTACTAAAGGTTTTTTTCTCATAATGAATTCATAGCTAAATCCTAATGCTGATGACAAAGTTGTTAACACAAATTATTTCTGAAATACAATTATTGATATCTTCTGAAATGCAAATAATCATTTATGGAATATAAATTATAATTTCTGAAATAAAAGTGATGATTCTGAAATTAAAATTACTATTCTATACAATTGACACTTTCTAAAATTAAAATCTTACATCTGAAATACTAATAGCCATTTCTGAAATACAAATGACTATTCTGAAATACAATTGATCCTTTCTGAAATAAAAGTGGAAAAGGTATAGACACGAAAGACGAGCTTTAAAATTTACAATGGGATGAGAAGTCTACTTGTGTTGGTTGGTCTGTAATGAAACCCTATTTGGTAAAACTATATGAGTGAAAAGTCCATTATATAGAGTAGTTTAGCGAAAATATAATTTCTTATTCCTCTTAGCTTACGCCTCTTTCACACGAAGCGGCGCGCGCCGTACGGCACTCCTAAATATTTATTATTATCTGTTCAGTTGTGGCTTTTAAATGAATACTCCACTTAAAAGTTCAAATAAAATGAATAGGCTAATTTAATTTCCGTTCACTTGTGGCTTTTAAATGAATACTCCACTTAAAAGTTCAAAAAAATGAATAGGCTAATTTAAAATATAATAAACTAGTGCACCTGTTGCTCGAATTCGAGCAATTGCAAAATATTAAAGGAGTTTTTTTTACAAATAATTGTCACAATTTCCGTTGGCTTACAAGAGTCAACTCAAAGATAATGTAACCAATCACTCCACTCCAGTTATCGAAACTGGAAACAAACTCAATCTGAAAACGAACGCTTACTCCACTCCATCTATCGAAACTGAAAACGAAAACTCTTGTGTGTATCATGTGTGTACTATGAACAGCTGTAATTAATACAAATTATTCGTCTGTTTAACTAAACAAAATCTTGTCTTCATAAGATATACATTGGGATTTTGATGGCCTGAGGGGCAAAGCCTGAGGACTTTTACTACAGGAATTGGTGAAAGGGGGCGTGTACACAACAAATACAAAATTTTGACACATCGTTTGTAAAAATCCGTCCATTATTAACGGAGGAGTAGAGGTGTATAGTCAATGGTAGTATTTCGTAGAAATCGCCTTCACGTATTATATATAAGTATTCGTCATATCTGAAAATATTGTATTCTAGAAGTTAAAAAAAAATTTTTCATTAAGGATAAATTACTAAATTATTAATTTAATACTAAATATTCTCCTCTAGTTATTAAAGGAAAAATTTTGTTTTAATACTTTAAGTTGGCCGATTTGCATGGGATGAACATAAAAATATATGTTTTCTAATAACTTTAAATATATTATTTTCTGATACAACGATATATAATTTCTTAATTAACTGTTGCACCCTCTTGGTCAGGTAGTTTGCCTAAATTGAGACAGCGTAGGGGTTGGGCCGTGCGGCGCACGCCGCACCGTGTGAAAGCTCTCATAAGAACCAATGCACCTTCACCGAGTTGTCCGGCGTGGACGCCGCGCGGCGCTGTCGTCCGGCTGAAGGTGCATCCGGCGGTAACTCGCATGCCGTGCGGCGAATTCGCCGCGCGGCGCGTGCCGGACATAGTGTGAAAGGACTCATATACTCCCATAGCCCTAAGCCGGATCCAGCGGGCGCCGTACGGCGTCCGCCGCGCGGCGCTGCGCCGGACAAGCGTATGTCTTCACACTAGTACGGTTTCGTGCGGCGCGCGCCGTACGGCACTCCTAAATATTTATTATTTTCTGTTCAGTTGTGGCTTTTAAATGAATACTCCACTTAAAAGTTCAAATTAAATGAATAGGATAATTTTAAATATAATAAACTAGTGCACCTGTTGCTCGAATTTTACGAATAACTGTCACTATTTCCGTTGTCGTGTGAGAGCCAACTCAAAGATAATGTAACCAATAACACCACTCCAGTTATCGAAACTGGAAACGAACTCACTCTGAAAACGAACGCTCGCTCCACGCGAGCCTTTCAAGACCGGAAAATGCCGCGCGTCTGCGCATGCGCAAGTAAGCGTTATTCGTAGCACTTGTAGCAGCTGCAGCTGTTTCAGAAAATCACACTAGTATCTTCACTGCAACTCTTGCAACAATCTACTTGAAACTGGAACGGTTCTCCCGCGCTTAACTCCAAACCATTTAATTACTGTAACTGAATGAAGAATTTTACAGATTATGTTTATGTATGTGTTACTTTACTTACTGTAACCTCTGGCACCTCCTTTATTTTATAAAATAAATTTTAAGTAACTTGGGTGGGCTACGTTACCGTTATCATCTATTCATCTATCTTCAATTGTACCCAAACATGTTTTCCAAAAGAGAAGATCCCAATTCTCATTTCATTTTTAATGGTCTAAGCTTTTTGAGAATTATTGGCATCTTGCTTACAATGAAATATGAAATGTATAACAAAATGTAAATGTTCAACAACGCTAATACATAATAATTTATTTTATTCACTAGCGCTTTCAGAAACAAGTTTTCCATTCAAAAGCGCTAGTGAATAAAACAAATTATGTTATTGGCTTTGCCTTGTTGAACATAGCTGGCTTATTAATTGGAATCCTTCTGTACTTCTCGTCCATAAACTAAAAATAAAATTTTCCACATAAACTACAAAGTACTCCAGTGTTATTGATGTCTTCCATATTACTCGTATTTCTCAGAATCTTCGCATTGAAGAAGGAGCACATCATCGATAATAAATGACCTCCGCAACACAGCAGCAATAAAAATCTATCAATAACATTAACCCCAACTTCAACTCAGACATAACTCGATCATAACATAAAGAATAATAAACTATATGAATAATAATTATGAGGAACTAGTTGCAGTTGCAGTGCAGTCAAGATAAATATTACGACAACGACGCTAGTTAGTGGTTAGTGACCGTGACTTTCTGAAATAGCTGCTGCTACGCCACCAGTTACTAGCGCATGCGCAGAAGCGCGGCATTTTCCGGTCTTGAAAGGCTCGCCACTCCACTCTGCCACGATTGTCACAACTCCATCTATCGAAACTGAAAACGAAAACTCTTGTGTGTATCATGTGTGTACTATGAACAGCTGTAATTAATACAAATTATCCGTCCTAACTGAACAAAATCTTGTCTTCATAAGATATACATTGGGATTTTGATGGCCTGAGAGGCAAAGCCCGAGGACTTTTACTACAGGAATTGGTGAAAGGAGGCGTGTACACAACAAATACTTAATTTTGACACATCGTTTGTAAAACTCGGTTCATTATTAACGGAAGAGTAGTATTTCGTAGAAATCACCTTCACGTATTATATATAAGTATTCGTCATATCTGAAAATATTGTATTCTAGAGGTTAAAAAAATGTTTCATTACGTATAGATTACTAAATTATTAATTTAATACTAAATATTCTCCTCTAGTTATTAAAGGAAAATTTTTGTTTTAATACTTTAAGTTGGTCGATTTGCATGAAATTAACATAAAAATATATGTTTTGTAATAACTTTAAATATAATATTTTCCAATACAACGATATATAACTTCTTAATTTACTGTTGCACCCTCTTGGTCAGGTAGTTTGCCTAAAATGAGACAGCGTAGGGGTTGGGCCGTCCGGCGCGCGCCGCACCGTGTGAAAGCTCCCATAAGAACCAATGCACCTTCACCGAGTTGTCCGGCGTGGACGCCGCGCGGCGCTGTCGTCCGGCTGAAGGTGCATCCGGCGGTAACTCGCGCGCCGTGCGGCGAATTCGCCGCGCGGCGCGCGCCGGACATAGTGTGAAAGGACTCATATACTCCCATAGCCCTACGCCAGATCCGGCGGGCGCCGCACGGCGCGCGCCGCGTCGTGTGAAAGAGGCGTAACTCGCATGCCGTGCGGCGAATTCGCCGCGCGGCGCGTGCCGGACATAGTGTGAAAGGACTCATATACTCCCATAGCCCTACGCCGGATCCAGCGGGCGCCGCACGGCGCGCGCCGCGTCGTGTGAAAGAGGCGTTAATAGTATTCAAAAAAGAGTTGAAGTGTTTTGATGATATATTGCATTTTATTGTTCAAGGGTGTTGTGTATGTCAACGGCCACAACCTAGGACGCTATTGGTCCACTGAAGGACCTCAACAAAGCCTGTTCTTGCCAGGACCTTTTCTGCACAAGCATCCTGAGTATAATACCATCGTTGTCCTGGAACTGGAGACAGAGAATTCTCTCAGGAAGGTGTTCTTCTCCCCAACACCTGTGTGGTCTTCAGGAAACTCTAGATGAGTTTGAGAATGCAAATATTTATATTTAATAGAACAGATGATCGTGAGATATCTATATATATAAAATCCAATGTATGTTTGTTTGTTTGTTTGTTTGTCCTTTATGGACTCCGAAACCGCTTGACAGATTGTAATGAAACTTTCAGGCATTATATTAAGCATTATCATAGATAAAACATACTCCCTTAGTAGATTTCTCATTCTTATGGAACAGCTGAAGACACTTTTATTGTTAGTTCATGTACGGTTTATGTAGAGGTCGTGTTTTGTTTACAATTTGTTTCCCATTATTACAGCCATTTAAAACCTCGTTTAACCAAATAATACGATATAATCATAAACAATAACTTGTCCCCTAGTTATATAACCAAACAGTAAAGCAGAAATCAAGAAATTAACCCTAAAATAATTGAAACAAAGTTTCATCGACACTAGCGCCTTTGTGTCACGTACATGAACTAGACACGAAAAACGTGCTTCAAAATTTACAATGGGATGAGAAGTCTACTTGTGTTGGTTAGTCTATGGCATTATTCAAGGATGGTTTGTGTGAAGTTTGGTGCAGATCCGTCAAAAGGGCTTCGCCCCAGTGGCTTTGGAGTTTCCCATGTTAACCTTATGAGTACTCATATTTAAATGGAATTAAAGAATCTTAACAGCTGGTTCAACTGAACAATTCAATTCTGTGATGTTCAATAGCATTAAAAAGTTAATAGGCTTACCAACAGGGTGCAGGACAATTATTTTTTTAAATTTATGACAACAGCTTATTTGCAACCAAAAGGTGAGTGAGCATAGCGAACGAAACCGTGATGCGAGTTAGCGTAGCGAACGAGCTAACGTGAAGGCAAGTGAGCGTAGCGAACGAGCTCCAACCTAAAGGTGAGTGAGCGTAGCGAACGAACTTCAACCAGGACGTGATGAGCCATGCGAACGAGCTCATCTTGAAAATGAACGAGCATTTGGCATGAAACCACATTAGGACAGGACGACGTCTGTCGGGCCAGCTAGTTTAACATAAAAAGTATGTGGTAAATAAATATCTAAGGTGACAGATTCATGACTAAACAAATAAACAAAGTCAAAAACTATTGTTATAAGCACTACAAATAATTCAATTTCCACTAAAAGATAATAAAATAAGTTTTTAATTCTTAATAGTAATCCGGCTGTTTAGTTAAATGAGGAGTTTTTATAATTTAACAGTTTTTTTTGTGATGATAGCCAACTAATATTAAACAACAGAATTTCTCTCAAAGTTATTTTACAAAACATTGTGATTGAAAACTGTTGTAATTTAATTTTTTTAAAGATTGATTAATTAAATGAAAATTAAAAGTTTTAGGATTTATTTCACAACAATACGATCTGAAATATGAAATCAATAACATACTTAGGTGGTAAGTTAGGTTGTTATTATTATGATTACTTATTAAATCTACATTTTGTACAATGTAAATAAATATAGCCCATTTATTAACTAAGATTTGTTGTAATAAATGTTGCTGTCCATGGTAAAAATATTTGATATACATTTTGTATTTATTTATACATGACTGCATAATAAATATGTAAGCCACCCTTTATTCTTTTTATTTAACTCATTAAACCCGCTAGACTTATATCGGATATCATGTGGAGCTACCAAAACCTTGCAATAATTTACACAGAAAAGACAACAAAATAAGCTGTGGCTGACATGACATGCTCTGCAGATTGAGTCAACCTTATAACTACTATAGACCCGACTGTACTCCGTTTACACAATTTCGGCAGTTTTAGGGGAAGAAATCTATTCCCTCCACTTGAACCTACCTTTAAAACGATAGCTCAACAGCTGAGAACAAAAGCAAACCCATCAGCAGCACAACGTGTAGTGCATCAGCTAACACTGTCCCTCAGGCCAGCATCTTAGATTGAGGGTCGAATTTATTCCCAATCAATACACTCCTGTGTGAAACTGACTTGGGACTTGGAAGGAGGTGATAAACTTAAGTTGGAAAGAGCGAGAGTGGTTTCATTGTAATTTCACCTCAAGTAAAAAAGTTTTTTTGCTATACTTTACTTATCATTAACATTTCTTAGAGAGAAACTAATTTTAAGAAATTGTGTAAAGAGTGAATAAAATTTAAAATATGACAGAGTAAATATATAGCTTAGTTTGGAAGGAATCTAAAGTGTTGTTAAATTTATCAGTTATATTGTTGGACTATTTATTAATTATACTCCCCGACTCTCACGGTTATAACCTTGAAATGATTTATATAATTTATTACTATTAGAGAAGTAGTTATTGCCGTAGGTGGCCCGAGACCAATTAATTTTTTCTTTTTGATGTATTCAGAGGCCAAAAACGCCATTCATTCAAAATTTTATATATGTTTGTAGGCCTGTATACATTATATGTCCGTGAATCCGATAACTTGAGTAATTTTGGTCTGATTTTGATAAAATTTGGTTTAAAGGTGTAAGGCGGGATAAACTTGACTGAGTTCGTGAACCAGCGTGATCGGACCATGGGAGCGGGGTTTAACATTTATGGCGTAAAAATTGGTTTTCCTCATTTTTGACCATAAAAACACAAAATTTCCCAATTTCTCTCTAGACCTTTTTAAAGATCGTAAAATAAAAAATAATTTAGTATACAGTATCGTATCAAAGTGTTTTTGTACGGTTATTCGTGATGGAGAAAATAAAAAAATAATTTAATTTAAAATTCCCATTACACATATTATTATTTATTTATTTATTGGTTATTTGCTTGTGGAGAATATTGTAAAATGTTGCAGTTTGCTTGTATTTTGATCAAATTCGGCATATTTATTTATTTTATACCAAACTATTAATATTTTACTAAAACATACTTTATTAGTTTCCTTGTGTATCAGCAAACCTAGGTAATCGTTAAACCTAATGTTACTGAAATAGATTTAATTGAAAATCAATTCAGACAAATGGAAATTCGCTTAGTCAGCAGGTTTACTGCGGGTGTATTTTTATCAAAATCATTCAAATATTTTGCGGTAGCATCATTAAAGTAGCAAAATGTTATCGGGGAGTAAGCTGGTCTAGTGGTAGAGAGCAGTTCTTTGGTTCCTGAGGTCCCGAGTTCAACTCCCGCCAATCGTAAATGGATTTTACCAAAGTGATATTGCCGCAACTCCAAGACCTAGGCTGAAGTAAAGTGAAAACGATCCTGGGCTAGTACCTAGCGTCGTGGGGAAAAAATAACAGATAGTACCTAGTAACGAACTAACTTTGAATCGAAGCAGCTATCTTCAGATTTAAAGGCTAGCACTATAACCACTCACACTTGGCTACTTAGACAATAGGTCACAATTATATTGGTCACTCTATTTAACTTCTATCCTAGAGAGAGAAAAACCTAAGGAGATAGTGTATTATGAAGAGAGTATCCTAAGGAGGTATCCTAAGAAGAGGTATCCTAACTTTAGTATCATCACCAGTTTGGAGCCCTTACCTGATTGGGCAGATTGAGAGTCTTGAGAACGTGCAGAGCCGTTTCATTCGTCTGGTTGGTGTGCTGATGGGTTATGACTACCGCACCGTTCCTATCCAGAATTTACAACTTCAGTTAAACTTGAGGCCACTACTTGCACGACGTGAAATCAATGACCTTCTGTTCCTGAGGAAGCTAATTAACTCAGACATTGATGCACCTGATCTACTATATAAGTTGAACTTCCGCACATACCGTCACCTGCGCCAAACTCATCCGTTCGCTAGACGTCAGTACTCAACCCAGTACATGTTTCACAGTACATTTCCCCGCATCCAACTCTTGGCCAACAGCTTACCGGAAGATATCGACCTCTTCTCCAACTGTCATTAGATTAATTATCAAATAGTTGTACTGAACTCAAGAAAGGTTGTTTATTTCTGATTTAACCAAAACTCAATCAAAATATAAAAACAATAACACAGAACATATGTAGAACAATTACCATATGTTATAAACATATTAACTACTACTGTCATCCCTCCTTCACAAGTCAAATTTATTTGGTGTTCTTCTAATCCTTTCCCCTCGTCTTACAACAGGAGCTGAGTCATTGTTATGTTCTTCTGACCTGGACGATTGACCTTTATTCACATTATGGGAGATTCTGAATGACTTGTCTCTTCTTAGGAACCATGAGTTTCTTCGGTATTCTCGTCCATCACCAGTCTGGATTTTGTACGATCGTGGTTCAGGACCAACTTGAACAATCTTTGCTCTCAGCCAACACTTTGGTTTGAATCTGAAAAGCACTGGTTCATCGAGTTTAAACTGATCAGGCTCTGTCTTCCTCATATCACCGTATAGCTTCTCTCGCCTTTTAACTTTTTCTAGCTGTTTTGAAACATTCTTTATGACCATCGGAATAAGGTGGTTGGTCGTAGATGGAAGAAGAGTCTTTGTCCTCCTACTCATCAGCCGCTGAACTGGGGAACCTAGGTTACCTCTTGGTGTGTTACGGTGATGAAGAAGTGCAAGATAAATATCGGACTGTTCTTCTTGACAATTGACAATTAAGTTTTTCCCTTCTTGGACATACCTCTCCACCAGCCCATTGGATCTTGGAAAATGAGGAGATGAAATTCTATCATTAAATTTCCATTCAGATACGAATTTAGTGAATTCTATAGAAGCAAAACATGGTCCTCCATCAGTTCTTAGTTCATCTGGAATACCATGAGTTGCAAAGTACTTTTTAGGTGTGTAATAACAGTAATGCTACTTTTGTCCCTTAGACTTTCACACTCAAAATATCCTGAGTAACTATCAGCAACTACTAAGAAGTCTTTACCTCCACATTCAAAAACGTCAGCACCGATGAACTGCCATGGCCTCACTGGTACTGTCTCTTGAAGGATCACATCTTGAGGTTTATCTCGTTGATATTTGCTGCATTTATTGCACCTTGCTACATATTGTTCAATATCTCTTTCCATATTAATCCAATATACATAGTCACGTGCTGTATTAATTGAACTTTGAACACATTTGTGAGGACGGTGAATATTCTGTAACACTTCAAGTTTCATTTCATCAGGTATAATCAAACAGCTTCCTTTAAACAAAAGACCATCATAGCAACTTTAGTTCTTATCTGAAAGTGAAATATTTTACCAATTCCTTGTCAACAGTGCTTCTTTCTTCGGGCCATCCTTTCAAGATTATTTCCTTCAATTTAGAAAGCTCTGTGCATTTTCCAACACTAGTTCTGATTCGAGAAACTGTATCAGAAGACATAGGAATTATCAACTGAATATCAAAGCTGTGAGGTTCATCATCTTGATTGTCATTGTAGCAATCTCTACTCAAGGTGTCAGCCAGATGAAGCTCACAACCCCGCTTGTACACAACTCTTGGTCGATACGGTAAGATTTCCAAACACATTCTTTGGATTCTGGGAGGAGCATCAGACAACGGTTTCTTAAAGATAGCCTCTAAAGGCTTATGATCTGACTCAATTATCAACTCCTTGCATCCCCATACATACTCATGAAACCTTTTGCAAGCAGTCAGTATTGCGAATGTCTCTTTTTCAAGTTGACTGTAGTTCTGTTGTGATTGAGTCAATGCTTTGGAATTATAAGCTACGGGCTGCCCAGATTGTAACATAACAGCACCTACTGCATAACTGCTTGAATCCACAGAGAGAGTCACAGGAGAGTTGGGGTCATAGTAACGAAGCACGGGAGTTCTTTGCAGTTTTTGCTTTAACTTGTTAAATGCTTCTCGTTGTGGCGTATCCCAGAACCAGGCCACATTTTTCTCAGTGAGAACTCTAAGAGGTTGAGTATCAACCGAAACATCTGGTATAACCTTTGACAAGTATGTTATACAACCTAAAAATCTCTGAAGCTCAGACAAACATGTGGGTTCCTTCATTCTTGAAATGGCTGTTACTTTGTCAGTATCAGCTTGTAACCCTTGGTCTGAAACTATGTGACCAAGAAATTTCACCAACGGTTTGGCAAATATACACTTTTGTTTGTTAAGTGTAAGTCCTGATTCACTCAGCTTTGTCATTACTTCATTCGTGATCTTTTGCAATTCTCTTTCATTGTTACTGTGAATGAGTATATCATCCACTGAACACTCTACATTCTTAATTCCTTTGAGCAAGTCTGACATAATATACTGGAACACTTCAGGGGCCAATACCAAACCAAAGGGCATGCGTAAACAAGAGTAGCGCCCCCAAGGTGTTGAAAAAGTTAGTAGTTTGGATGTTCTCTTCGTAACTTTTATCTGCCAGAATCCTTTTTTACAGTCAAGGATGGTGAATAAAGTAGAACCATTCAATGTAGCTGAGATGTCCTCTAATGTAGCCAATGGATAATGTCTACGCTTTACATTTTTGTTAAGATCAGTTGGGTCAATGCATAGACGTATTTTGTCTCTTTGTTGGACTATGACCATAGGAGACACACAAGGAGTAGGCTCACTTACCGGAGTAATAATCT